TATATATTATTAGAATTATTACTACAATAGCAACAATTCTTTTAAGTCCCCAGATTTCTGGAGATTGAAATCTCCAGATAAACATTTCTCTAAGGTTGTCTCTTCTCAAAAAGGAGTCTGCTGTTCTGAAAGTTAACTATATAGACCCTATTCTTTTATTCTTGCCTTCATGTGAAGCTCATGAATAATAAAGCTCAGATTCAAACCCTTCACTATACAATTGCTTTTGGCAGTTATTGAAAGGCAGCTCAAAGCAATTTAACCATTATTCAGAAAAATAATAAAGATAAAGTCAATCATAAATATCAAATGATCTGTCTAGAGTGTAACAAGGAAACACAGTAGATCATCATCGGAGTCGTATACTCTACCCCAATTGCATAGTTAGATAACTAAATATCAAGGTTTACAGAAGCCAATCAAAAATAGCATTATATCATTATACAATGAAAGTATTAGATACATTAAAAGATAGAAATCAAAAGTGCAAATGTGTTTGACTACAATTTGGAGAATTTCTGGAGCCAGAGCAGAAAAGACATTATAACAAATAAGGAAAAACCCTGGAATGAAACTTGCTACATGAACTCAGTTTGCTATATTTAAAGCAGACTCTGTTCATATACTAAATCGTATTTCCAAAATGAATTATTATATAACAAAGTAATTTAGTCACTAAAATACAGTAACCTGCTGAGGGAAGAAAATAGAAACAGAAAAGAGAAAAGCAGAGAATGAAGGAAGAGGAGCAAAATAATGCAGATACTCACAGGTTTATAGACACATCCCCTCCGGAAAAACAACTAATGGCAGCAATAAACCATACAGAGTTTAAAAAAAAAAAGAAGGAAAGAAAAAGATACATAATATCAAAGTAAAATAGCATGAACCATGATGGGGGGAAGTATTAAAAGAAAGATTAGAAAATGCAGCAGATCACCTTTGACCTTTCAAATTAAGGGAAAAAGGAAAGTAAAATTGAGTGCAACTCTAAAAGCTAGATCTGCACAGGAAGCATGACAACAGTCCATTCTTTGGATGAGGGCTAAATTGCAAAGTACTGCTCTGAATCTAAACATATTAAGTAGAAAAACATCTAGATACATTTGCCCTGTTCAACAATGCTCCTGAACTACATGAAATTACATTTACCTCATCACATTGGTCTGTCTTATTCAGAAGATTTAGAGGATTAGAAGTCTCATTAATATTAAAGTTCCTGCAGGTTTTACAAAAAGAAATGCCTTGGTAGAATAAACAGACTCTGTTAAGGTTCCCCTACAAGAAGGAAGCAGTGCAAATCATCATCTCAACAGGCACTGAGAAACCCTGGTCAGAGCTTAACCAGAAAACCAGTCTGTAGGTAATGAGCTACATTTCTTCCAGTATTCATGGTATTATTTACCAAAGATGAAAACAATTCTGGATTCATATACAAGACTAAGAAGTTAAAGCATGCATTCCTGGTACTTGTAGCACACAAGCATTTGGTGATTATGCAGGATGAGTATTCTTGCTCTCTGGTATCCTGTGGGGATTAAACTCCATTCCAACTCAGAAATGGGTTGCTTCTGCTGAAGCAGTAAGAAATGTCCACTTTTATTGCCCACCTAAATCTGACACATGCACTCCTTACTTGCTGTAGGCATAGTGACTACATAAAGTGGAAAGAGAAATTTTTTCACATCCCTTTTTCAGATGCATTCTCTGATAATTACTGTCTCCTATGCTTGTACGTGGCACGGTTTGCAATACCCATGAAAAGCCAATTCAGTACAATTTCCACAATGCTGCCAAGTATGCCTACTATAATAAAATAACTAGAATTATTTTAATGTCATTTCTACATCTAATGCAGCAACCACCATTGGAGTTGTTCTGCTTACCCCAGACTCCATTTGGTTAAATTTGATCCCTACACAGTGAAAGGACTGAATTTATGGGAAGAGAAGGAATTGTGAAAGATTTCCTCACCTTTTTTGCAAAGTAATAATGTGGCACCTCTATGCCCAGAAGAACCTGGTAGGATGAAGGCAATGGAAAGCTCTCCTGAAGCAAAAGGCTGTGCTCTTCAGTACTGAAGAATGATAAAATCCAAACATCCGTCTAGAAAAGGAAGCAAAGCATTGTTTTGGTTTTACGCTGCAATATCATTCTTTAATTTTGTTTTTGTTTTCCACATTCACTTGGCAGAACCTTCCCTTAAAAACAACATGACATATACATTCACATGCATACACCTGCTGGAGAGGACAGAGCTGCACGCTTCCTCCCTATAGTAAGTAGCCAACAACTCATTCTACATTACAGACTGCATTCCTACTGCAAAGGGACCTTTAGCTCTGCCTTTCAGGAACCAACTTCACCAACCAGAAAGAGAGAAGTCCCTGGCCACAGATTACTGCTCTAGAAGTCTCTCTGACAGAGATGACCCAGGTCAAATAAATATTCCCAACTGTTTTCAACAATTTATTTTTTTTAAATACTATATTATTTCTATTATAATTTCAGCAGCTCGCTGACTGTTCTGAGTTCCCAGGGAATATATGAGCCATTTAAAAATAGTTTCTCTAACAGCTTAAATATTGACCTGACTCAAGTCAAAATGAACCATTTATTTCCAACTAAAGTTAATCAGACTTCTCAGTTCTTAAAGGATAAGCACACAGTTAAAGGTTCTGTTGAATAAGGGTCAAATGTAAGTTACACTCCTTTTCTATCTTTTTTATTTTTCAACTTTACATTAGGAATACTGAAGCGTTGTTCTCTTTGCTAGACCACCCTAGCCTTTTGAGACATCCCTATGCCATTCCTCCTTTCTACCTTGATCTTCCCATGATTTTTCTAACAACAAAAGAAACAAAGAGCTTTCCATCTCTAATTGGAAGAGGTTTAACCAAAACCATGCACAAATCAGAACATTGTAAATCAACATAGACATTACAAATCAATGGAGTATTTATGAAGAACAGGCAGTTGTATGCAGACAAAATGTAAGGACTGCTACAAGCACATTAGCAGTGGTCTGATGAAGGAAATCTTTGATTAAATAATTTCTAATCAATAAAAAATATATCTTTTTGCTAATGTAAAAAAGACTGTAAGAGATAATTTGGGAAGTACCATAAAGATGTACAATGTCTGTCTACCAAAGCAGAAGATGGTAAGAACATGGTAGGAAGAGTGTACTTCACTGTTCACAGAAGGGGCCCTGGTTATTCTATTAAATTATTTCTTTCTGCTAAAAGTGGACTCAAGATATAAAATCTGCATTATTTTTTTTCAATAAGTAACAGATCTCTAGGTTATCAATTCACCCAATAATGACACCTGAAAAACTGTAGTCGAGATGCAAGCCTGCATTATGATAACCCTCAAAATTCTAGCATAGATAAAGAAATCACCTCTTCATCACTGTATGCAAGCTAGGGCTAAACCAGAAAGCTGATGTACAGTGACTGCCTGAAGCCACAGACATCAAACATGTAGTTTCACTACTCATTTTTGTACAGAATAATGTATACTACCTACTCCCACATTCTTAATGAAGGACCAATGATTTATTACTTGGACAGGGAGAACTCCATGTGAAGGAAGGTAAAACAAAAAAAACCATACTGTGTTGTCAATCTGGTTCTCCTTCTGGTCTGGAGATTGCAGGCATGTTTCAAGGACTGCTTCACATACAAAAAGTCTTGGTTCACTCTGGTCCCAGAAATGGCAAGCAGGGACGTGACTGCGCAACTCTGGATACTCCACAACAGACCTATCAAAAGGCAAGAAAATAAATGTAGAAGGGGAGACAAAATAATACCAGCCCATTCAGTGCATTAATGTAAATAAAGGACTAAGGAAGGGATAATTTTCAGATGATGATCACTTATCTATACCAGTACCTCTGCATTGTGACATTAACCATATACATCTTCCTAACACTTTATACATGGCAATGCCACTTTTAGTTTGTTCTGTATACATTAACCATGACTACAGGAAATAAAGCATTTCAGTAGAAAAGAATCTGGTACTGCCTCAAATACAAACTGGCACCCAAAATCTGCCTCCACTGGGATTACATGTCCTACAGATATACTTGAACATCCTTCAAAGGATCTACCTTAGTGACTGCAACCAGTGTAAGTTCTGTAAGATGGGGACCACCTCAGCTCTGTCTTCTTGTAGGTTCACCTGCCCCAAAGTGCTCATTGCCAGCACTGCTAGAAATGCCTAGTCAGGTTAAATGCACTGATGTGCATTTAGGTAAGTAGTAAAAAGAGAGTTTCTAGTACATATGCCTCACATTCAAATCCAGCTGAGTAGCTGTCATAAGAGACCCCAACTAGACAATGGAGATTAAACTGATGGGGAAAAAAATAAGGAATTAGTTTATATACTCAAGCAAGAGATCTCTCTCTATTGTAAGTTCAGCAAAGAGACCTGGGTATGCAGCGTGATTGCTGCTTTGAACTGCTGAACCTCTCAGTTTCCCTAAGGAAACTCCAGACCTGCAGCTGGAGGACTTCAGTCTCTGGATATGCCACAGTTCATTCCCTTCCCAGTACTGTTCTTGAACTTCACACTGTGCATGAAGAACACTGAGGCGCTGTGAAATAGCACATTAAGCACAGGGACAACCCCTGCAGCCTTAGGAAAGCCACTCTCTGGCAGCAGTTTAAATAAGAAACATCTTAGTGCCTCCTTCAGGCACTGAAAGACTACTTCAGTGCCAACCATGTTAAGACAATAGATACACAGAATCATGCTATTTTAGCAACGGCTTAGGATTCTTCTGAAAAAATCCAGAATACAAATAGGTGTCAAATTTTTAAAAAGAGAGAAACCAAAAGTCACCATTAAAATATTTTTCTCATTTGCTGTCACCACTGAAGGGTGGACTTTGTGAGGAGGATTGGAGTAGGGCTGGAAGGCAAATTAAAAGAGAGATCCAAAGGGATGCAGAAATACACAACATCCTATCCACTGAATTCAAGCTAAATTACTTGCAAACTGAAAAACAGTATTTGTGTAAAAAAAAAATGGGAGTGTTTAGATCCTGCCTCAGGAGAAGAGAGAGAGAGAAGGGAAAGAAGTGTAAATCATTATTATTTGCTGGTGAGTTTACTCATTCCAATTACAAGGCACTCTAAAAGGACGCACAGATAAATGGATTATTCACATCAATACCATCTAGTATTTAAATATCAGTGAAATAGTATTACAAGTTTGTGGTGGCCTCTGTTGGGCTACACAAGATACTACACTTGAAAACAGCTTTCTCACTACTCATTATTACACTGTTTACATAACTGACCAAGATGAAAGGCTCCACATTTGCACTGTCTTTAGTTTTTCAAGAGCTGGGAAGTTGCTCCTATGAGAGCAACTTTTTTGCTTGTAGTATCTATAGCAGACAGTTGCTAAAAAAGCAAACCACCTTCTATTCTAACGCTGTTTTTTCTGAAGAAAAACACAATCAGAAAAATTATTGTAAAACCAGATGGAAATTTGTACCCTAACATTCCACCATACTTCCATGGGAATTCCTAATTCACTGCATTTTGCTGCCATGCTACTAGGTTTTCTAATGTATTTGCCACAGAACAGCTTCTATGAAAACAAAGCTGTCAGTTCTAAACAGACATTTCATGAGTTTTTATGCATACAAAAAAACATCCTGTATTGGACTTAAAAATTAACTTCTTTAACTAGAAGGAGCTTCAGAATGTCCTCTTTTCAGTTCCAGCCCTGTAAACTCTTCATGGAAGAGTAGCTGTCCTAGATTTTTCTTTATTTTAAGATCAGGATCCTGATTCCAGTCATACAATACCTCTAACACATACCTCCCAACACTCAATCATCCTCCTCTCAAAGACTTCTTAAACCAGATATGGCTTCTACATATCTAATAACTCTCACTGCATTTCTCTTCTATGAAGTTGTCCAATTACTCCATGAACCCTTGATTCATCATCTAGAACTTCCTTTGGCAAGGAGTTGCTTAGCTGAGCTGCATGTTGTCTGAAGAACCACCTCCTGCTGCTTATTTTGAGCTTGCTTTCGGATGCCTTCATTTGACACTCCCTAGTTCACGCATTTGAAGAGACAGGGATGCAGTCTGATTGACATACACTGCACTAGTTTTAATTAATTCTTTAGAAATAAAATAATGAAATTTGTATGAGCTCCTACAGAAAGACAGAGAAACACCAGGATCAAAGTGTTACTTGTCTTCGTAGGGCAGATTCCCATCTTAAATCCACAAGTAACACTGCTCAAAATAAAAGCTTCTTACTTGTCAATGCCTTGCCCAGAAGAAAGCTTCTCTCTACTATTTCCCTGTTCAGCCTTGAAATCAAAGACTGTAACTTTGTCCATTTCAACATCATAGAAACAGATCTTGGAATCAATGTTCCCATCTGCCTGCAAGAAGGGAAAACAAAAGTTTCTGAAACCTGCAATCAGAGAGGAAAAAAAGCTAAAGTTCAGATAGCACATTTATTTCATTTGATTCATGCTCTCAGTTCTGTTTACTGGTAATCTCACAAGAACATTCTTCCGAAGAAATATCAGAAAATGTCTTGATGTTTTTCTATTCCAGCAAGGTAGCCTTTGATTTCTTTGAAACGCTACAAAGTAGCTTTTGTAACTGAAATACTGCTACCTTTTCTGGGTTGTTCTTCTTAGCATGTGTACAAAACCTTAACATACCTTAATGTTAGTGTTTAGTTACATACGTGGACACGACATTTCAAGACCCGATACACTGCACAGAACATGTAGGTTTATTTCTGAGAAGTGGCTCTTGTGTCTTCAGTAATGTTCTTGAACCGCACCAGTCTGTTAACTGATGGTCAGGTCCTAGGGCAGTGAGTGAAGAGCTTTGCCTCACCTTGCTAACAAGGATGCTGACTTTATTGCCGTTAGCATTGCACTTGACAGATGCAATGCCTCCAAGGCCAGGACACAGCTCAGAGAAGTTCTTGCTATTGCAATGCACTTTTGCTTCTCTGTAGAAAGGAATAAACTTAAATCATATGGTGGCAAGGAACTGGCAATATGCATCAGCCAAAACATTTATCAGATTATGGCTAAGACTTTAAAAAACCCCTATTTCTACATTATGACACCACAGCCCCAGACTCCAGCATCCTCTCCAGAGAACTACTCCAATCTGCCTTTCTTTCAGGAAGAGATTAATGAGACAATTTCCTCAATGATCAGCAAGAATAAACTTCATTGCTCCTACAGGAGTCCCAAAACAGGGCTATACAGCAAGAACATCCTACCAGAATTTTTGATTTGGTGGTCTGTTTTTCCTACATAAGATGAACAGTAACATGAATGTTGAATATAGCCCACCACATAAAAGTTCTGTGTATGGAAAACACACTGCGGAGCAGAAGTAAAGAAATGTCATTGTGGAGGTGGTATTTGTATCATATGACTGGTCACTTTCCCTCCACACATAAGATCCAAAAGCCTGGATCATTCACATACTTAGCACCCACTCTCCCCCTCCCAGTCCTGCTTTTTTAATTATCTCAAAAGAATCTTAATGCCAGTGTAGATATAAACCCAGTGATCACTCAGCAACAAAGAGGACGAATCTCATGAATCAAAGAAATTCAACAGAAGTAACAGTCATTTAGACCTATAATATGATCCCATTAAAAAAGTCTTTGATTCTGTAAAAATAACATTATTGGGTTACATGTTTAGACCTCTCATTTATCTTTGAAATTAAAGAGCGCTATACTGTCATCATTTGAGAAGGGGCATTTTCACTACTAGCCATAAAAATTTAACATAGCATGCAGGAGTTAAGCTACTTTTTCTCCACTATCAAACATCATAATCCATTATTTGTGCCCAAATCCAGTAACCTTAAAATTGTGTCCCATGCAGAGTTTGTGCCATCTCAATACAGGTAATGAGTTTGTAAGTGGGTAACTAACTAGACTTCAGCGTTCCTCTGGTGACAGTATGTCATGAAGAACAGAATCTCTTTCACTCTTGAGGTTTTTTCAGGTTTTAGGAATTACATTTGTCATCAGCAGATAAATTTTGGAACTGAAAGCCATGTCAGGCACATATCCTTTTCATGTCACAGCTGTTTGTCAGCATGGGAACACACAGTAAAGTTTAAACAAAGTTAAGTAAACTTCTCTCTTAACCTAAACAAGAAGAATAGTGTCCACAATTCTAGGTTCACTTCCTCCATGGTTTGACTGAATCAAGTTTGTTGATTTATGAGGAGATCTGAGACCTAGCTTCTTTTTTCTTTTCTCTTCTGAGATTAAAGTCTTGTTCAAGTTAAGAGCAGAAACATGTGACATCCTTGTCTTGATCTTCCATAAATTCTCCACCCACTTTCAAATTCACACAAATATCCCTCACAGTATCCTCTTTTAAAAGTACTATATTGTTACTCATCTCATGATCAGTCTAATAATTCTGTGGCTCTTTCCTTGCTTTAGGGATAGGCCCTCAGTTCACATAGGCAGCATGTACTGTCTCAAGATTAAAGGTGGCTATGACTTTTCATCAGATCAAAACCAGCTGAAGATTCCCCCTTCCCCATAAAATATACACTCAACTATGAACAGATGTTTTTAAAAGGCTTGGTGATACCTGCGAGAGAGATCAAAGATTTTAAAGTGAGCCAAATCGGTTCCCACAGCCAGGAAATTTCCACAGATATCCAAGAAGCATGGATTCCCCTCTGCTTCAGAGAACACCAGCAGCTGTTTAACTGTGCCCTGAGAATAAACATTTAACACCAGGTTTGTGTGTTCAGAGTCTAACTGGAAGGGATTTATTTTGTCACCAAATAAAGTAAATAATGGTTGAAATTCTGTGTTAGACAAATCACTACCAGCAAAATGAGAGAAAACACACACACACACATGCGGTCTGGTCAAATGCTAACTCTGTTTCAGGTTGAAAACTTGATGGATAGCCTCCAAAAAAGTCAAAATTTAGAGGCACCCTTCTGCAACAATTTCCTCTCCAATAACACAAATTTTTCTAACCAAGAGGGATATAGGAATAGAAGTCTCTGAAGGTCCTTTAATGTATAGCTGCAAAAATAAATATAATAATTAAATCAGTCCTTATTGTGATATATCCTACCCATTTTTGAATATGATATTTATTTCTTATATAAAATTGTATCATAGAACTCTGATAATTAGATTCCTCTTTTCTCATGGACTCACAGAAGCTGCAAAGGTTAAGCAAAAGATTTTGAAGGAACACAAAGAACGTGCAGAGGTTATTTTTCATTATTTCACAAGAACATTCAGTATGTTCATTTTCCTGTCAGTAATATACATATGCAACCTGCATGCAATTTCAGTCCTTAATCTGGCCCTTACAGAATTCTGCTTTCTTTTATAAATAGTCATTAGTTGTAGTGTATCAGCATTTAAAGAACACAAAATGTCAAAGATCTTTCTGCTGAAATACTCAAAATATTTTTTTTTCTATGACCAAGGTAGAGTTAATAGATTTACAGAATATCCACTTAACTTTCAAGCTGTAACACCAGTCTTTGAAAACAATAAGGCGTATTTGTCGCTTCGTGGTTTCATCAGCCCTTACCTGCCAAGTGCGGACCTGGACCCGATATGGCTCAACTGTGTACAGATTTTCTCCATGCACAGACAGAACTGGTGAGTCACAAAGAAAAGAGCCTGGAACAATCACAATAAAGCCATCATTAGAATAAACTGATTTTTTAAAAAGGATAAAAAATTGACTTAAAGCATTCAATTTCCAGTATCTTGCACCAAGTCCATTTTTCAATCTGTCAGTCTCTTCTGATTCCCAAAGTCTTCGGTGTTGCAGCCTCATTCCATTCTGCCACTATAACCACAAGCTGAGACTCCTATTGAAAATAGATGTTTTATACACTCTGCTCATGAAAACAAGTGGGAGAGGAAAGGGAAAGA